CCCCCAGCTCTCCTGCAAATCTAGAAGAGAATACTAGCATCCTGATGCCCTTATTCCCTGATTCTGGGAACAGATCTTTCTGCTACATTCATTTAAAGTGTATCTAAACCCAAGAGCAGAAATACAATATATTCCTTAGATGTGGCGGCTGCATTAGATTTCTATTAAACCTTTATTTTCACCCGGTGATCCTGCCAGTAAAACACTTCCTGTCCCAGGGTGCCAAAGTTGACTGTACAGTGTCTATAGAGGAGCAGCTTTGTCTCCTAAGGCCCCTTTCATATGGGTATGGTCCGATCGTGTACGCTTGTCCTTCAGACGGACCCCCATCGAATGCCCAATGCTAGTCTATGGGCAGCCGGGTCTAAACGGATGGGTGTCTATTTACACCTGGTTACCCCCGACTCCAGACAGGTCTGGAAAAACAAAGGGAACAGAGTTCCATTTCGACAGACCTGATCATGCCGGATTGGAGGTCATCTGAACTGACACTTGTCCGTCTACATGCGATTCCCTATAGACCGACATGGGGTCTAGTCGTTTCAGACACGCATGTCACATGGTGACATCTGATCTGTACTGCTCCAATCAGAAGGGGATCTGTGCATGGACCCCCCCCCTCCTAATCGGCCCATGTGAAAGGGGCCTTCGGGACCGTTTACAGCAGACACCCGATTCTGTCCAGAACGCACTGGATAGTATTACAGCCGGCTCACTTTGTTATGGGGCGAGAGGGGGCGTGGCGGTGCATTGACCTCAATGGCACCGTAGCCACGCCCCCCGGTCGCAATGAGATCGGCCACACGGGAACACAAGGCACATCAATGCCTGCGATCCAGTCAGAAAAAATGCTGCAAGCACTATTTTTCTGACTGGACCGCAGGCATTGGTGTGCCTTGTGTGGCGGATCGCATTGCGACCGAAGGGCGTGGCTACAGTGCCATTGAGGTCAATGCACCGCCTCGCCCCATAACAGTGAGCTGGCCGCAATACGACCCAGTGCGTTCTGGCCAGAATTGGGCCAGAACACACTGGTGTGAACGGTCCCTTAGGCTGCTTTCCTGATTTGGACTACCAGAAGATGGGTTGGCTGATAACATTGTTTCACGCTTTAGTGCGCAGGAAGTTACAAGGACTTTTTCGTGCTTCCAGAAAATGTATCTGATAAAAAAAAAACGAATGCAGCCACCACACGTAAGGACCGGTGATACACTGTATTATATTACATTTTTGTTCTCGGGTTTAGATACATTTTATAATTGAAGACTTCTGGGTTACACTGTCGTAATCTCTTAGAATCTTCCTAAGAGTTTTTATTAACTTTTTGTATGCTCCATATTAAAACGATCGAATATATAGATGGGCTTTCTTGGCTCTTGCAGAGGAACCAAGCCACTCTCTTTAAAGTTGTACTCCGGGATGAGCAGATAATGTCCTCATACCAGAGTCATGCGTGTTCTGGAACCTTGGTGAGCTTTGTGTATTTCTTCCAGATCTGTGCAGTAATCCCATGTGAGACTTGGAGCTTCCTGTAATAAAGACTGGTCACTGCTGCTCTCTCTCTCCTTGTGCAGTGTGACTGGTCTTGTCTCCACCCCCTCCTATAATAAAGACCGGTCACTGCTGCTCTCTCTCCTTGTGCAGTGTGACTGGTCTTGTCTCTGCCCCCTCCTGTAGTTTTCTGTAGTGGGTGGGGCCTGCTGGGTCTCTCCCACAGCTCTGCTCTCTGCACAGGCTGTGTATACCACAGTGATGATGTCACTTACTGCCTTTGCAAGGTTATATTTGGTGCACACAAAGTGGATTTCTATTTCTGGCTATTAAGGAATATATTTCAATAAACGTTTTTGTACCTGGAATTCAGCTTTGGTGGCCGTTATCCTGGGTGGGGCGTATAGCGCGGGAGTGACAGAGAAGGATTATGGGCATGGCATTGTTGACGCTCTGCACATTCTTCCAGATTAATGGCGTAGACATGACAGAAGCCAGGCATGATCAGGCAGTAGCGCTGCTTACTAGCACTTCACCCACCATCACTCTACTGGTGGAGAGAGAACCCGCCCAACCGGGGGCACCGGCAGACCCGAGAGCATCGCCTTCCCTTCAAAGAGCCCGGCCGCGCTCACCACCGCCGCCCCCAGAGAGCGAGAATGGCGAGGGAGAGGAAGACGTGACATCACCGAAGAATCACAGCAGTCACGGGATGGATGACGAGTATCCCATAGAGGTGAGTGCTGCTCATTCTGCTCCACTCTAAACGGTGTTATGTGGAAGCCGGAGACTTAAACTATCGGTCGTGGAATCTTCTCTTCCTGGGTCTGTAAACCTGCTGCAGCCATTATGAGGGGCATCAATGCCTCTCCTTGGAATTTGTGTATTTGATATTATGGAGTATGTACAAAGAGTGGGGTCACCCCAAGGTGGGCTTAGACAGTGCCAGCTATGACACAGAGCTATATAAGAAGCCTACCAGACTCCACCTGCGTATGAAATGTCATTTGATGTGAAAAATACATTTGATATATTCCAGAACAATTATTTGTCTGGTTCTGATGTTCAGCTGCTTTTGGGTATCCTAGTTAGGACTTTTCATCTATATCTAGCAACCAAGGATGCTGTGCGGCCTGATGGCCTGCGCTCTACCCACCAATGAGACGCACCCTTGTGCCCTGCATACCTAGTGATGGTGCAATACCTGGTTCCTGAGACCAGCTCTGTCAATCAGAGAAACATTTGTTAGGGGGTCGGAGTGCGATGGGGGCCTGTTGACCACACTGTCTCAGGCATGAGACATACTAGAAAGATGGGACAAAGTGCTATATGCACTTTGTCCTCTGAGGGACAGGAGTAACAAGGGGAATGTAGTCATACTTTAAGAATGAACATTTTCCTAAAATTCTAAATAGATTTAGCGTGGGGATCTCTGCGTTGCAACACTCCCTTCAGCTCGCTACAATCATTGCTAAACATTTTATCTACTTTATGGTGGATTGACATTTCCAACAACAGATAACTTCAGCCAACAGTATAGCTTTTGTAGACGTCTGAATGATTTATGTTCCCAAAATTAATGTGCGTCATTCCTGCAGGAAATTATCCTAATAAAGGCTGGTGGCCCCCTGGGTCTCAGTATAGTAGGGGGCAGCGACCACTCCAGCCACCCGTTTGGGATACGAGAACCGGGCGTCTTCATCTCAAAGGTGAGCTACTGCAATGTTAGGTCGGCAATTATTATTACATACATTTAATTATTTCTTAAATGCAATGAATGCAAGTACCTGAAATTGGCCTGGTATCAGCAGGGCTGGAGGGTGAGAGGAAGAAGCGGCACCAGGAGCCAATCAGTGCTGACAAGAAGCTTTGTGATAAGAGAGAGCGGAGAGATGAGCTCATCACTGTGCTGCTTCACCTTTCCCTGCCCAGTCACTGGCTGGGGGGCGGGTTCGGGATGACCTGGACTCAAAGGGGGTGGGTTTAATGATGCTGGCCATCTATTGGCAGAGAAAAGTACTGCTCTTGGTTGAAGGTCATTATTTCAGCAAAAGCTGGTGTCGTATCTTAGCTTGTCTTTGGCTTGATTCCTGATTTGAAAAAAAACTTAATTATTTCACAGAAAAGGAAACTCTGGATGCTGTGATGCTTGTCCCAGCTTCAGAAGTGTCACCACAGTAATTCATTTTTGCCAGTAGATGTCCTAATTTTTTGGTGGGTTGAATGACACTTGGTATCATTAAACCCGCTTGCTGGGGGCCCAGGGCATAAAGTACCTGCAACCCTCGGGGATGCATCATCGAGCTGTCCTAGGCTCCCTGGAGAGAGCTGCATCAGGTCTTTACGTCGTGGTGCTGTACCCTGCAACATTTTAGAGCACCCATGAAGGCAAAGGACCTGTGATGCCACTGCACTGGAGAACATTTTAAAAAATATATATTTATATATACCTTTGCCTTCATGGGTGCTCTAAAATGTTGCAGGGTACAGCACCACGACGTAAAGACCTGATGCTGCTCTCTCCAGGGAGCCTAGGACAGCTCGATGATGCATCCCTGAGGGGTGCAGGTGCTTGATGCCCTGGGGCCCCCCCAGCATGTGGGCTTAAGGATACCCAGTGCGATGTCAAGCAAAAACAAATTGAGGCTTCATGTCTGTACGGAAAATACTATATTGAGGTTTTAGTACACAAACCTGTTAGGAGTCAAGTCACAGCTGCCCCATTCCTGCAGCCTGTGACCCTTTTTGTCCTGTATCCGGCAGGTGATCCCTCGTGGTGTGGCCGCACGTAGCGGGCTCATGGTTGGTGATCGGATTTTAGAGGCAGCTGGGGTGGATCTGAGACACGCCACCCACCAGGAAGCTGTGAAGGCCCTACTCACACCAGACAAGGAGCTGCAGCTACTAGTGAGGAGAGACCCTCCGCCCTCGGGAATGCAGGTACAGAGCACTGACTATCAACACTATGCAGGCTTACGGTTCATTCACTGGCTGCAGGTCCATACCTACATTCCCACCTGGTAGCAATAAATGCTTCTAGATAATATGAAATACAAAAATGATTATAGATTAGATAATAAAATGCCCCATCGCACTAATCATGGCCATGGTGTATATACGGCAGGCCCCTGAAGTGCTTATACCAAGAACACAGCTGCGTTCATGGCACCATTGTAAACAGCCAGCGGTGGCTATACAGACGCCCGACCGTTTGTACTGAGCAGCGCTGTGCCCTTCCGCCACTGGCTACCCCGGGCTCCGCTGTCCCCTGTGTGGACCCAGGACCGGCACGGTGGGTCTCCCTGCATCGATTGGAGTAGGATCAACAAGCTTCTAGCCGCTGATCTCTCCTATCACTGGACCCGGAAGTGATTTGTATTAGATCACTTCCGGTGTCACTGTTTACATTTTCCGGCTCCTATAGCCAGGAGAAGAGGCTGTGGAAGCAGTTTGCTGCTGCTCTCAGCTTCTTTGGGTTTCCTGGGTGTCATTAGGGGTCTGAAATACCCCTGATGTGTCCATAGAAAGGGCTTGTCACGTCCTATTTGCTATTACATAGGGTGCTTGTTAGCCCCCTGTGTGATGGCAATAAAGTTAAGTGTAAAAAAACAAAAAAAAAACATTAAAGTAAAATAAAAATGTAGTAAAGTCCCCTGCCCCCACGCACACAGATGCAAACGCTGTGCGCCGACGTGTAAAAACTAAAATTGCGCAACACCCGTGTTGCATATTGCCGCAAACATCGGAGTGAGAACAATAATTCTAGGGCCATCAAGACCAGGGGTAGCCAAACTCCGGCCCTCCAGCTGTGGTGGAGCTACAAATCCCATGATGCATTGCAAGATTCTCACAGACATGACTCCCGGAGAGAGATGCATCATGGGATTTGTAGTTTCACCACAGCTGGAGGACCGGAGTTTGGCTATCCCTGGGCTTGAGGCTAAAATAAAGGAAATATACTCGCCTTATCTTTGGTCCCGCTTTGTCACTGGATCGATCCCCACAGCCTCTTCTTCCCCAGGCTTCAGCTGTCTAAGGACCCATGACGTCATCAATTCTAATGCAACTTCTGCAGTGTACTACATTCCCCCTGTGTACGTCCGTTACATCCTTTTGGGTGCATGTGTAGTACGCCTCATGTCCACAACTGGTTAAATAACCGTGATTGACTCACCTGCACTAAATGATTTGATGTCACATTCACTGCATTATAAATTTGCCCCTAAAATTCAAATTCCAGAATATTTGTGAATTGTAAATGGCTTTTTACAGAATTCAGTGTATCTTTATTTCTCTATAATCTGATGTCGGGATCCGCTTCAGCTGCGGCGTCTCAGTATACCTCGAGCTAAAGCTCGCGCTATACTGAGCTCAGGGTGACAGGAGGACGCTTGTTTGTGTCCTCCCGTTACCCTTAGGAGAACTATGGGGAAAAGCCCTGACCTCATAGTTCTCCTTTTAATGTATACAAGACGTCCTGTTGAACCTTTCTCTGTATTGGTTGGCTCATTGCTTCTTAGCTTCTCTGTGGTAATGAGCAGTTTCTATCCCGCAGGAAATCTGCATTGTGAAGGCTCCGGGAGAGAAGTTGGGGATCAGTATTCGTGGTGGAGCCAAGGGTCACCCGGGAAACCCCCTCGATCCGTCTGATGAGGGAGTCTTCGTCTCCAAGGTGAGATATCGAGTTGTACTGACAGCTAACACCTACCGATGCCACCTATCTCTATCTTGTCCTGCATTATACGTGAATCTGTCCTTGATTGTCCCAGAAATATTAGGGGGTCAGAGGGGTGATCTAGGCTCTAGTTGAATAATCGCTTTCGTAGTTGGTTTCCTCAAGGTGTGACCGTGTCCTCTATAATTCTTTATGTATTGTTAGGTTTTTTTTTTGTACTTCTTTAAAAAGAGGCCGGTTGTAGGAAGGTTCTTGTGAGTGTAAATGTCTGACTCCATCTTTCCTGCAGGTCAGTTCCTCCGGAGCAGCAGCTCGTGATGGACGGCTGAAGGTCGGCATGCGGATTTTGGAGGTGAATCAGCAAAGCCTGTTGGGGATGACTCACACGGAAGCAGTTCAGGCGCTGCGTGGAGTCGGCGACACACTTCTTATTCTTGTCTGTGATGGCTTTGATCCCGTCTCCACGAACTCAGTTGAGGTGAGATATCGATGTGCCTGAATGGCTCCTCCCCCGTACCACTTTTCCCACTTGCCCGCAAACTTCAGATTGGGATCCTAAGGCCTGGTTCACACCTGGGCGTTTTACAGCGCGTTCCTACACGCTGTAAAACGCTCAACATGTGAAAACCAATAATTGCCAACATACCCCCACTTCTGCCGCACTGGAAGGGTTAACTGCTTACCCAGTCTAGGGGTAGATGAGTAAGCTGTCCCTGAACTCTGAACAACACTATATCATATTTGTGTATCACTCGGCTGTAGATCCTCCAATCGTCTCTGAATTGGTGCTGACACTGTCCTTCCTCCTGGAGGGTGGCTACTTTTGTTCCCCATGGTCCCTGTGTGTGTTGTAGAGTAGTTACCGCTCCAAGCTCGCTCCCGGGATGGACTACAATCTCATGTTTAGTTTACTGATTTTGTATGGAGATTGTAGTCCATCCCGGGAGTGAGCTTGGAGCGGTGACTACTTTACAACACACACAGGGACCATAGGGAACAAAAGTAGTCACCCTCCAGAAGGAAGGACAGTGTCAGCACCAATTCAGAGATGATTGGAGGATCTACAGCCGGGTGATACACAAATAAGATACATTGTTGTTCATAGTTCAGGAACTTGAATGTATTTGTAAGGTTTAACTTCTGAGTTTAGTGTCACGTTTAATGCTCAGTTAACGCTTGCAGTTGGGGGGGGGCATGCCTAAGCAATGTATATTTGCACGCTCTGTTGTATCTACCAGTGGTTCATGTGACAGGATGACAACAGACAAGTACTATTAAAAGAGGTAGTTGTCACCCCATAACAGGAGGTACCTGAACAATGACCCTTATGGCAGGATTGGTGAAATAAGCAGATTTAATAACATTGAAACTGACTTCTGAGACGATATTACCATCTTAAAGCTTCTATAGGAGTTTAGTGGTTGGGTTTACATTTACTTCTGAGCATGAGTGTAATAAGTAAACACAATTTGTGCTCTCTAGAGCCCCCCTCCAGAAGGTAACCTGAGACTATATAAGCGTTCTCAGCATGACGTGTTTCAATCAAAGTTTTAAAATAATCCTCATTATCAAGCAGATATTTTTTTTTCTTCCACTTACTGATCTTTCATTTTGGAATGAAGACAGGTCCATGTGTGCATCCAGTAACATAAAACACAAACAGGCAGCATTTTTGCATGTAGTTCAAACTCGCAAAGCCAGACTGTGTGGTGCATTGTTTCACTGCCAGACCCTTTCCTACTCCAATACATTTCTCCCCAGTACGGGCTTAGTCACCTTCATGACAAAGCCGCTATTGGGGAGAAATGCAACGCAGGAGTATGAGAGGATCTGGAGGTAAAGTGAAGTCCCATAGTCTGGCTCTGTGACTTTGCACTACTTTCAATAAAGCTTGTTGGATATTGGGGGGGAAAAAAAAGTGGAAGTACAGCTCCTTTTGTATCTGGATACTGCAGGGTCGGGCGAATTCCATCAGATTTGCACCCATGGCCTGTGGGTAAACTGTAAAGGTGCCCATACACTGCACGATTCTCGTACGAGAATCGCGGGAAATCTACTGTACGGTCGCACCTCTTTTGTCTAAGGAGTATGCTAGAAAACCAGCTGAAAATCTTACGATTTTCGGGTGGTTTGAATGATGCTCGGGAGACAAATGCCGAACGGGCCGGTGGTCCCCATGGCACACTGCCCGTTCAGTATTGCGGTCATCGGAAGCGGCTTGCGATGATCACAAGTATGATCTGCCTGTCCAAGATGGGCAGATCGTACGTTTTTTTAATTACTTTACAAACATCGCAAGACTAAGGTCTTGCGATGGTTGTAAAGTGTATGGCCACCTTAAGACCTCCTGCAATGGCAATTACCTCATGTATGTTTACAGTAATGCAAGACGGCTGAACTCTTCCCTGCTTCTCTCTGCAGGCCTCTCCCGGCGTGATCGCCAATCCATTCGCGGCTGGCCTTGGAAGGAAGAACAGCATGGATAGCATTTCCTCCATCGATCGTGATATGAGCCCAGAAGAGATGGAGCGATTGCAGAAGGTAGGTGGCATTGAGCTGGTCTTGTGGGTGACTGACTAAGTAAACTGGGCCAGCCGTGACTTTGTGCTCCTCTCTGGCAGGAGGTGGAGCTGGTTCGGGAGGTGAAGTGGGAAAGAGAGGACATGGAGAAAGTGGTGAGAAATCTCGTTCACCTCACACCCTGTCCGTCATTTATGTGGTCTCCCCTTCCCCAGTAGATATGTGTGTTCGTATATGTTACAGCAGCGCTCCCGTCCATCATAACATGACCATTGTTGTGCCACTGCGCATTTTAGAGGATTCCAAAATGTAGCTTTATATTCATTTCCTCTGACATTTCCAGCCATTCACAGCACTAACCTTTCTGCATTCTTCCTAATATTCCAGTGCCCATTTCTTAAGGTATATCTACAGCCAAAACCTTTATTCATTTCAGATGGAGTAGCAAATGGTAAACCCTCTGACATGTTTTTTTCCTGCGTGTGTTCCATTGGGGAGATCATTGTTCACTTCCTGTCCTGTAGACAGAACAGGAAATGAGAATAAATCTCAAGAGTGAGGGAAATCCCCTCTTAGCTGTCACTTGAACAAGTGGTAACATTGTTCCTATTCCAGTGACAACTTTTGTTCACATTTCGTCCCGTGACAGTGGCCAACAGGACTAATAGAGCACAAACAGCAATAGAAACCTTACAAGGGTTCAAAATCTCCACCCTCCCTCCATAGCTAAAAAAAAAAAAATAGTTTTGGCTTTAGATGCACTCTAACAAACTAATAGCCATCTTTGGGATGTCTGTACTTGGCCAATGTCATATATACGGGTCAGTCCACCTAGAAGTGATCCTCCAGTTGGAGTGACCCTGCCTCCTCATCTTCGTCCCCTTCTTCTTTTTTTTTTGCTTCATTGTCTTAATGTTTCCAGCTCACACAATGTTTCTCGTTTCTCTTTGCTGATCCTTTTTCCAGCTCCCCAGTCTCCTGTACACTAAAACCTCCTCCATCCGCTCACTGCTTCCAGTCTGCCCATTTCCGTCTGTCATCCTCAGCTCCATCCTTTGATGTCCCTGCACCTTCCATTCCCTTTGAATCCTCCTCCAGTTCTCTTGTTTTGATTTTTTCTTTTAGTGCCTGCCCTTGCCCTCTCTCCCCTTCTCCAGCCAATAATCTCTCAGCATGCGGCCTTACTTTCTTGTGCTCCGTTTTTCTTTCCCGTCTGCTCCTGTCCTGTGCATGGCTTCGGCTCCTGCGGCTCGCTCTGACTGTCCTGTCTCTGTCAAGGAGAAAATGCGCAGGGAGCGCGAGGAGGCTACGCGGCTCCTCGAAGAGGAAGCGAAGGTGAGACCTCTTCGTTCATACCAGCAATATGGTCTGTGTAGCGGAGTTAATCTTCCTGCTTTAACAGAACCAAAACTCCACGCAAATATAAACAGTCTTCAGTCTGGCCATGTGGTCATTAAAGCCCAACTCCGGGCACAGTAAGCTTACCTGGGTTAAAGCTGTTTAAACCCTACTTTGCCCCCAAAGCACCCACACAGTCATGTATTCTTTCTTCTGCATCCTGCCAAGCTGCTTGTTGACATAGACCCCCAACTCTGTGGTCGTGTCTCTGCACCCCTCTCCTCCTGGCCACTCACAAAGCACACAGACCCAGGCTTCATTTTATGAATGGCCAGGAGGTTGCGGGGAGGAGTAGACATGAATGTAGTGCTGGGGTCTATGAAACCTGCAGTGCTTATATCTTGAGTGGGCTGGAAGTACAGTGTGAGCTCTACTAATACTGGCATGATATGACAAGTGTAGAGGAAAGCCTGCATGACGGGAGGTGGGTTTTGAGGCAAAGGGCCTACCAGCTTTAACCTTGGTAGGCGTTACCCCTGGTAGAGCTCAGGTTTTAAACTGTAGAAACTATTAATATAACTCGAATTAAGAATAGTTAACCTTCTTGGCGGTATTCCCGAGTGTGGCTCGGCGTTAATTTTCAGTACCAAAAGCGGTAACCCCGAGCCACACTCGGGATTACACAGTGCTTCACTTACCTTCTCCCTACGAGCTGCGATGTGTCCTCCGGCAGATGCCATCTTCCGGGTTCCGTCCCTTGCGAGCTCGGGGACTTCCCGACTTTCATGGACTTCCTGTCCATGAAACACAGAGGAAGTCTTTGCAAAGTAAGGCACATCTCCAGTTGTCAGCACAACAGGTGTCCCTATTTAAAGAGTTTGCCCTCACCCCCTGTTCTGGTGACAACTGTAAAATGATGGATTTCTCATAAGTTCCCAGGATTACGTAAAGGAGCACTAGACCTAAGAAAGGATGAAAGAGTCCATGATGGTTTTTAATTGTTGCAGAACAGGTCATATTAAAACAACCAATGCATTTTGAGGGCAAAACCATTCCCCCTTCATCAGGGTTACAAGAATATATCTAAAACAGTCATAATGATGATTATCTATGCATACATATGCGTATATAGCATAAATGATTAAACCAATCATGAAAGTGAATATAACCAACTGTAACTTGCTAATTGGTTTCTGAAATAAGTATTGGAAAATGCTAAGAGTCCCCTTTGCTGAAGGGGGGGTGGTTAGGCAGCACAGGGAGACTCTCCCCAATGTAATGTTACTGTTTGCTGCTCCAGTAAGCAGTAGAGCTGCAGCTAACGATTATTTTCAAAATCGATTAGTTAGCCGATTATTAAGTTATGATTATGTCGATTAGTTGTTGCAGCCCTAGTAAGCAGACTGGTGGAGAGTAGGTGGTACAGGAAATCTGGAGCAGGGTGGGTGGCACATGGAGACTGGATGAGGGGAAGTGGGTGGTACAGGTAACCTGAAGGAGGATGGGTGATAAAGCACTACTGGAGGAGGGTGGGTGGCACAGGAAGACTGGAGGAGGGTGGGGGTGGCACTGGAAGACTGGAGGAGGGTGGGGGTGGCACTGGAGGACATGCACTGGTACAGGAATCTTTAGCTTCTGAAGTGCTGTGTGCCATTTTGACTTGTGTTGAGGAGCTGTCTGATTCCAAAGAGCCTCTGACGGGTAAAACACTTCACACGTTTATTTTGTCTGTCATTGTGGAGTTTGCACTTCTAATGTAAAGTGTTGCAAGTTTTTTTACAAAAAATGTACTCGCAAGTATCGATTTTACATCCTCTACATTGCTCAGAATGGGTACAAAAATAATTTATTTCTTGTCTCGAGGGACACAGGAAGCAATATACTATTGGGTAGTACTGCCGCCTACAGGAGGATTGGACATTTCAAAATTTCTAGGCCAGCTCAGGATAACCCCTACTCTACCCAGCATACCTAATTTTGTTCCACCTGTTTTGGCGGATTCTGGTTGACAGCCTTCTCGTTTGGTCCGTGGGCTGCTGCTCCCTTCCATGTGGAGTTATTGGTGGTCTTGGGCATCAGGTTGATTCTCCGTGTCCTCCCTCTAGTCTGTTGATGGAATCTCCTATCTGGCAGGGGGCTTATCCTCACCCAGTGTCAGATTTGAGCATTGGTCCTTAAAGCTATCCTTGACTTCCCAATTCTGTTTTGCTTGGGCCGGTTAAGACTTTTGCTGCTGCCCACCCCTCCCTTGGACTGCTCTTGGACATCCTTACTTCCTGCGTCACCTAATGGAGAAGAAAGAAAATTGCATTTTTGTACTCGCAGTAAAATACTTTTCTTGGACTCCATTGAGGGACACCCTTCAGGGTTTGGATTATGCACTTGGTAGAGGAAGGATTATTTTGGGCTGGCTGCCTGGTTTCTTTGCCAGTATCCAATGTACCTGTAGTATAACCTGAAAGTATATGACCTCCTGTGCCCCTCGGTTTATATGAACTTACATATATTTGGACTTCTTCACCCACGAACAGTGTCAGGAAAATGAACTTGTTACTTCCGGGTCATATTCTTCTTTCTCCAGCAAACGTGGCTCCATGCCAGACCTCTTTATCTAGGATTTCTAGACACATTGAGGGGAATTTATCAAAACTGGAGCGGACGGAATCTGGAGCAGCTGCGCATGGCAACCAATCAGCATCTACCATTCATTTTCTGTGCTTAACTGAACAAGCTGAAGAGAGGAGCTGATTGGTTGCCATAGGCATCTGCTCTAGGTTCCTCTGCTCCAGTTTTGATAAATTCCCCCCTCTGTAACTCTTCCATCTCTCTATTACTGCTGAGACTTTACTATTGTGTCTCATTCTTTCAGGGATACACAACATCGTCTACTGAACCCCTGATGTTGGACTACAAGACGCTGGCAGCCTTACCCAGCAGTGGTCTGCCCAAAGGGAACAGAGTGAGTGTAATGGTGTACTGGACCGTACCGTGTGGTCTGGCAATCCTTTTGTTTCCAGAGATGATTGACAGTCAGATGTCTGTTACCAGTGGAGACGCCATCTTTCATACTCATCGCCTCCATTCTTGTTCAGTTCTTGGTCCTTCAGTAGTTGGTGAACGTGTCCCGATCTGTTGACCTGTCTCCTCAAGTGTCCCAATTGTTTCCTGTCTTTGATTGGTTTATATTCTGTGACTTGTCTCTGAGCGATGTTCTCTGGTTGTCTTTTGTGGTCTTTTGGCTGGACGTGTTGTGTGGTCAGCCGGGTCACTTTCCTTGTTTCCTTCAGTCAGTGAAGTTCCATATAAATATTTGCTGATGTGATCAGTGTCTCTTATACACTATATTACCCAAAGTATTGGGACACATTTACACGCACATGAACTTTAATGGCATCCCAGTCTTAGTCCGTAGGGTTCAGTATTGGGTTGGCTCCGCCCTTTGCCGCTATAACAGCTTCAACTTTTCTGGGAAGGTGTCCACAAGGTTTAGGAGTGTGTCTATGGGAATGTTGGGCCATTTGTGAGGTCAGGTACTGATGTTGGAGGAGAAGGCCGGGCTCGCAGTCTCCGCTCTAATTCATCCCAAAGGTGTTCTATGGGGGTGAGGTCAGGACTCTGTGCGGCCAGTCACGTCCCTCCACCCCAAACTCGCTCATCCATGTCTTTTAAGAACCTTGCTTTGTGCACTGGTGCGCAGTCATGTTGGAACAGGAAGGGGGCCGTCCCCAAAACTGTTGCCACAAAGATGGGAGCATTAAATTGTCTTGGTGACATTTGTCCAAAATGTCTTGGTATGCTGATGCCTTAAGAGTTCCCTTCACTGGAACTAAGGGGCCAAGCCCAACCCCTGAAAAACAACACCCCCACCACCCCCCCACCCACATTAAATGATTTGGAGGGGCTTCCCAATACTTTTGGTAATATAGTGTATGTACCTATGGGACTGACATATGAGCGTCATAAAAGAGGTTCTGTCACATTCATACATTGCAGGGAAACTCCTGACATGCTAAAAATAGATGGCAACCGCACAGTTTATAACCATCCTTTGTAGCAAGGTGCATGACTCCTGACATGACTGACAGCTGAGAAGTTTCTCTACTTTGATCTGCGCTCATCTTCCTTACGTCTCTTTGTTCCTCTTATGAACACTTAGTGCTCCCAGTTCTAAGCTGCCATGCAACTTCTGCTCTTTTCCCCAGCCTGACATCAGTGCATCTGTGAATGTTCCCGTTCCTCCAGGTCATGGTCTATCTGTAACAAATGATTCAAGACAACTGGACTTGCAGTATGTTTCTTGAAGATGTTTTGCTGGTCATCTGACTAGCTTTCTAATTTGAGAAAGCTAGTCGGATGACCAGCGAAACATCCTTTAAGAATAATAAACCAAGTCCAGTTGCCTTGATTTTTTTTTTCTACAGATATGACATCAATGCAGTTCTTCTCTGCGTTGGTTGAATGGAAGACAGGCATTAGACGCACACTGTTATGACATCACAGTTACTTAGAGAAAAGTTGTGGTATCTAAAGAGGCCAAATAAGCAAAGAGTAGGTCCAGCTAATTTCCTGGAAAGTGGTACCTCTGAAAATTTATATTTTGGCAAATGTAGATATATTTAGATGTCAGAATTGACAGGTTCCCTGGTAGGCGCCGTGGTTATTATTATGGGCAGGGGTATTGCACTGAGAACACGCATGACCTTTCTCATGCACTAGGCTGCATATCCCATTATGCTTATTTCTGTGTTCTGTTGGTTCCCACCCTTGGTAGGGATGCAGAATCCTTAGATGGACCCTTTGCATAGTTCTTTATGCTCTGCGGTGGGTAACAGAAGCTCTGGCATTTTGGTGTCCTACCATTGGGACCATTGACAGATGCTGCACTCGACTTCAGTCCTCGCTTTGTTGGGCTTGTGTATGAGTTCTCAGTGTATGGTGGGGTGGTACCATTTCGTAAAAGGAAAAATCTTTCTTTTTTGGCTGCTGTGGGCAGTTGTTGGACTTAGAATAGTGTATGCGAGTGCCATGCACAGGATTAGAAGTGTCCATTGTTCAGGAAATACAGCAGGCGATGGTGTCTCATGGCAGATTATCTCCTGGGAACAGTGTTGAAAGGATCTGATGTTTAGGCAGGTCTTGGGTTCACAGGTTGAGACAGTGATCTTCCAGACCTTTCTACTGATGCAAATATGGGATATGGTGTAGAGTGTGGTGGTGGGTGACTTCCCAGGCTGGCCAGGAATTTAACAATTGCAGCCGTTTGACCCCCTTGCCAGGCTCTGTCTGGCGTTGACCCCCCTTGCCAGGCTCTGTCTGGCGTTGACCCCCCTTGCCAGGCTCTGTCTGGCGTTGACCCCCCTTGCCAGGCTCTGTCTGGCGTTGACCCCCCCTTGCCAGGCTCTGTCTGGCGTTGACCCCCCCTTGCCAGGCTCTGTCTGGCGTTTCCAAATTTGGTTCTTTGCCACACAGGTAGGGTTATCCCTGATTGCAGACCTTTCTTCTGTTGCAGGTATGAGATAGTGTGTGTATGTGGGGAGTCTGGTGGGTGGGTGGGTGACTTGCGGACATTGGCCAGGATTTTAATGATAGCAGCCGTTTGACCCTTGTCAGACTCTAGCAGTTCCAAATTTAGTTCTTTGACACACAGGTTGGGTTAGTGATGATTCCAGACCTTCCTCCCGGTGCAGGTGGGGGATGGGGAGAGGAATGCGGTGGTTTTTTGGGAATGTGTCATTCCTGTAGTCGGGCTCTATTCCTGCCGCATGGCTCACAGCTGCCATTCCAAACCCTCCGAATCACAAGAAGCTCTCCTCCTCCCCCCTCGCACTATTTTTGGAAGCCCTTGAGTCTCTGTGCGCTGCTGGGGAAATAGTGCGAGGAGAGAGGACAGATCACACCTCGGACCTCAAAGGGCGGTCAAGAAACTGTGAGTACTCGCAATGTTCACCTGGGCATGGGGGTCCCCTGTGATCTCTGGGTGTCTGTCTGTCCATGACCAGCGTTCCTGCACCCCAAACTCCTTCCCTTCCGCAGGCCAATGCTTCACGTTCGTCAGTACGACTTCTATGGAAGTGCCAGGAACTGGGGATGTGCAGAAGGTTTTGGTTTTCTCTTTTTTTGCAACTTGTAGTCAAAATTGAACAAAAAGGTGTTTTTTTAGGCCTGAAGGTTCAGACATCATCGAGGCGCTGCTTTGCCCCTCTGTGAACATACAGATCCATACTAGCTGTGTATTCTCTTCTGAGCAAGGTGTATAGGAGATCGTAGGAAACGTGTGGGGAAAAAAAGCTATCGTAGCCAATGTTCTACTCGCACATTCTTTTCTTTACGGGCTTTCTGCCTTTTGAAGATATGTTCCACTCTCTGGGTTTTCTCACCCTTCAAAGAGAACTTTGACTTCCAGTAGTATTGGCTGGATTAGGAAAATTGCCGCTGATGAATTTGCTGCCATGGATCATATTTAATACAACCTAGTTGCTGTTTAGAGCCATCCTCGCGAGACATAACCTGCCCTGTATAAAGCATTAGGGAATCTGGAACATGCAGTTCAGTTTTGGGCTCCAGTTCACAAAAAGGATGCTGGGGGAGCCGGAGAGAGTGCAGAGGATGACGACCATAAGAGGCCATGGAGGAGCTCGGCTATGAGGAAAGATTATCTGTCCTGAATTTGTTCTCTCTGGAGAAGAGGTGATTATAAGTAGATATGATCACCGTGTATAAATACATAAATGGTCCATATAGTGAGCTTGGGAAAAAGTTATTCACTGTAAGGTCACTGCAAAGGACGAGGGGAATCTGAAGGTTTAAAGTGATATTAAAGCCAAGTTATTTTTTTATTTCTCCTTTAAGGAGACCCTCCTTTGCTGGAGGATGTTGCGTTTTTTCTTTAAAAGTACTTTTCCTCGTTTTCCCCGCCCCGCTCTCC